TTTTTCTTGACCTCAACCACTGCCTAGTCTGGGCCCCCATCCTCGCTCTCTTGGACTGGTCTCCTTGCCCAGAGTGCCTCTCCCCTACTGAAAGTCCTGCAAAGGCAACTAATTGCCCTCAGTATAAAGTCCAAACTGCTGACACAGCCTGCGTGGCCTCTCAAAATGAGAGGTATATGATTAGTATGGGCCTGGACAAGGTTCCAGGTTCTCTGCCCAAGGCAGAGTAGCTGCTGCTGCTTCCTCATCTGGCTTCAACTTACCCCTCTAGCATTGTCTTCAGACCTTACTCCCCTCTCCTTGGGCTACACCATCTTGCTGCACTTCCTGGAATGCACCCAGTCTTTGCTCACACCCTATCCTTTGCCTTTAATGCCTACCCCTTTTGCCCCTTGGGTAACTCTAGCTTGTGCTTCAGGACTTGGCACAGACCCCGCCTCCTCTCTGCGGCCTTCCCTCGTCAGCACTCCCACCTCATCCCACACTGACCACCCATTGTCCTCTGCTTCCATTAGCTGTGCTTTGCTCTGTCTCTCCCTTGAGACTCCGGGCTTCAGGAGCTTCAGACGTGCCCTCTATGCAACAGCAGAAGACCCTCACCATATCTGGCTTGAAAATGCAACCTCTCCAGGCTCCCATTCTCCCTTGGGCATATTCTCCCATTTTCCACCTGCTCCATATTTATACTTTCTGCTGTTCTCTTCTGGGGCAGATGGAGCACTAAAACTTGAGCCCCTTTTCAAGATTCTATAAATTATTTTCTCCTCTTTCCCAGTCAACTCTGTCATCCTTGCCCAAGTTCTGTCTCCTCCCTGTCCCCACCCACCTCCACTGCCGTACTCAAGGCACCTGCCTCCGACATCCACCCAGGCCCAGGTAGAGAGTTCTCTGTTTCTCCCGTGGTCTCCTGCCTCCTGCCATCCCTCCTGGACACTGCTCTTCTTTCTGCCCCTCCCACCCCCGGCCACTCACCCATCCTCCCCACCCACCTGGAAAGGCTTTGTCTCTGCCTAAGCCTTCTGGTGCTACTTTGCTGGGGCCACTCCCCTCTATTGAGAGTAGGTGTGCCCTGTTTGGTGTGCTGTGGGTGTGGCTAGCTCCCATTAAGGCCTGGAACTCCTCCAGGACAGAGACTAGGTCCTGCTTAACTCGGACCCCCCAAACCTAGCGCAGACGTGACATTCACCCAGTGTTTGCCAGCTGACTCTGGCATCTTTTGGGGAATTTTCAGCACCAGAGTTGTGGACAGAGACCCTTCCCATTAAACTCTTTCCAGGCTGGCTGGGGAGGAGACTCCAGATGATCTTTATCTTTCCCTCCTAAGCTCCTCCACCCAAATTGAGCAAGGCTGGGTCTCACCGGGATGCCTCCCTGCTCCTCATCTCCCAATTCTAACTGCTTTACTTCCCCTTCCCCCAAACCTGCCCCCTCTCCTCCAGCCCTGAAGCGGGGTAGATTAATGATCAAGAGCTCAGATTCCAGCACTTATTACCTCTGTCATCTTAGACTACTGAGACTACTACAGAGAGCTACTTAGACTCTGTGCCTCAGTGTTGTCATCTGCAAAACGGATACACAACTATGGAATAATAGCTGGTGCATAGTAGATGCTCAATAAAGACTTCCTGAATGAGGCTGACTGCAGTGGCTCACGCCTGTAATTCCAGCACTTTGGGAGGCTGAGGTGAGCGGATCCCTTGAGCCCAGGAGTTGGAGACCAGCCTGGGGAACATGGCAAAACCCCGTCTCTACAAAAAATACCAAACAATTAGCAGGTGTAGTGGCATGCACCTGTGGTCCCAGCTACTCGGGAAGCTGATGTGGGAGGATTGCTTCAGCCTGAGAGGCTGAGGCTGCAGTGAGCTGTGATGGTGACATTGAACTCCAGCCTGAGGGACAGAGTTAGACCCTGTCTCAAAAAAAAAAAGAAAAAAAAAAAAAAAGAAAAAAAAAGGGATTAATGCCGAATAGGGGCTTTGTCAGAATGACATGATTTAATACATGCAAGAAGCACAGGTAGAGAGTAATGCCTGGCGCCCAGAAAGCTCAGTGTTGGTTATCTCTGCATTTCCTTCCAGTTCTTTTGAGGTCCTGGAGAGCTGGGAAGAGTTGGGATTACTGGTGAATTTCAAGGGTGGATTTTATTCAGACTGGAGGCCTGGAGGGGACACTGGTGGACAAGGTTCCAGGTTCTCTCCCTCTGGGGTCTTTGCCCTGACAGCCTCCCCGTCTCCCACCCTGGGGTCCAACCCTCCAAAGGCCGCTGGAGTGAGCCTTCAAAGGAGCAAATTTCGTCCTGGGCTGGGCAGGGGGCTGGAGTGGGCACGTAGGGGTCTCGGGCAGAGAGCTAGGGCAAGGGCGCCTGGAACTGACAAGCAGGACTCTGCCGCCCCCTGTCATGCCCCTGGGCGCGACGCCAGTCCAAGGGAGGGTGGGAACACCGGACTGGTTTGTGGGTCTCGGTTGGAGCGGTGATGAAAGCCGCGGAGCCGTCGGGCCCGGCGCCCGGCCCAGAAACGCAGGGCCGGCTCGGAGGAGGCTGCTAGTGCAGACGCCTTCGGGATTTCCTTCCGAGCCATTTTAGGGACTGCGGGGCCGGGGGTAGACGCTTCGTGCGTGCCCCAGACCCGGCGTCCAGACAGCCCCAACCAACCCCACACCCCAGGCCTCCGCGCCCGCTTTCTGCTGTGTGGGCCCCGCCAGGAGGAGCCGCGTCCTGCGGCCTTCTGTGCCCCCCGGGTCCACGGAAAGGAGTAGGGACGCGGAGCCCGGGTTGAGGGGCGGGTAGAGGGGCCGGCCTCGGATCAAAGGGAGTTGACCTCTCCACAGTCACCCCACTTCCCCGTTCCAATCCCTGCATCTCCTGCTCGTGAACCCCGCTTTTGGGGGTGTAGTATGTGCCAGTGTCTGGGGTGCGCAAGCTGGGAAAGTTCTGCCGGCGCTCCCGGCTTACCTGAGGCCGGGGCAGGCATCGCCGCGGGCTAACCACCGACTGCGGGCGCTGAGCGGATCGTCCGTCCAAGTGAGACCGATGCCCGCGACGCCCTCCCCCAGCGGGACTGCGCAGCCGCCGCTCGGGCTCCGCGGCCCATCGATTTTTCTGTTGACTTTGGAAATCTCATTAATCCCTCGTTAATTACCCTGCCGGGGGCTCGGACCCAGAGGGTGCAGCCAATTGCGAGGCAGCTGGACGAGCGGGCGGGGCCGAGGGCTGTGCAGGCGCGGACCTGCAGGGTCTCCGACTCGCAGCCCGCCCTTAGGTGGGGTGGAGAGGGGTGCAGTGTTCTTAGGCCCGCAGTAAAGAGCTTGCGGAATTCAGGCCTCGCTTTCCTTTAGTGATAAAGCTGGGGAATGGACGCCCTCCCTCCAGGCCTGGAGTCGCTTTTTCCTGTACCCTACCTAGCCCCAGGCCTGGAGGCACGCTCGCAGGACCCTGTGTTTTCCTTAAGTCAAACCTAAACTTGGTGGGGAAGAGTTGGAGCAGAGCGCCATTCTGACAGGGGTGGAGGCCTCCTCAGCTGCACCTGCGGCCTCTGAGAACTACTCACCTCCTTCTGCTGACAGCGTCCAGGCACAGTTTCCTCAAAGTCCCCTGAACTCCCGGTGCTGCTGTTCCTATATCTCCCCCAAACGCCATCTGCTCCATGGGTCACGCCCAGCACTCCCCCTCCCTCTGCCTCTGTATGCTCACCACCACCTTTCACTCTTCTTCTAACTGTGGAGCCTCCTTCCCGTCTCTCTTCTGTCTTCCCTCCTAAGCATCTCTGTACCCTTTGTAGAGTAGAAACCCTAAGGCTTAGGGGAAGCTCCCAGGGGACCTCCGGGGCAGGGGGAGGTCAGGGGAGGCCCACGTGGTGAGGATCTGAGACTCCCAACTCCTTTTAAACTAGAACTGCCCTGTCTCTCTCTCTATATATATATTTTTTCTTTTCTTTTTTTTTCTTTTTTTTTTTTTTGAGACAAAGTCTTGCTCTGACTCCCAGGCTAGAGTGCAGTGGCATGATCTTGGCTCACTGCAACTTTTGCCTCCTGGGTTCAAGAGATTCTCCTGCCTCAGCCTTCTGAGTAGCTGGGATTACAGGCACATGCCACCATGCCTGGCTAATTTTTGTAATTTTTAGTAGAAACAGGGTTTTGCCATGTTGGCCAGGCTAGTCTCGAACTCCTGACCTGAAGTGATCTGCCTGCCTCGGCCTCCCAAAGTGCTGGGATTACAGGCATGAGGCATCGCACCCGGCCTATATCTATGTTATAAAGTTAGGTTCCTGTAATATTTTATTTGAAGGGAAAAAATGTTCTGCTTGAAAACAAAGTTTGAAAATTATTGTTCTTAGCAGAAAGGCTCTGGATTTTTTGTAGCTGTGTGACCTTGGGGAAGTCACTTTACCTCTCTGGGCCTTAGCTTCCTTCTTGGTAAAATGCAGCAGCGACTACGTCGCTGCTTCCTAAACTTTCTTGTGTCACGGGACACACACACACGAAAAGAATGATTAGGTTGGGTGCTGTGGCTCATGCCTGAAATCCCAGCACTTTGGGAGGCTGAGGCGGGAGGATCACTTGAGCCCAGGAGTTCAAGACCAGACTGTGCAACACAATGAGACCCCCATCTACACACACACACACACACACACAGAAAATTTAGCCAGGCGTGGTGGCAGTAGTAGCTGTAGTTCCAGCTACTCAGGAGGCTGAGGTGGGAGGGTCTCTTGAATCCAGGAGGTTAAGGTTGCAGTGAGCTTTCTGCACTCCAGCCTGGGCGAAAAAATGAGATACTGTCTCAAAAAAAAAAAAAATGTATGTCGCTTGGAGATAAAGGGAAGAGGAAGATGACAGTTTCGGAACTCCAGTCACCCACTCTGTAGCTAGTCTGTCACTTGGAGTTTGCTCACTACACTGCAAAGCTTGAGATCTGAAAATCTCCAGGGGCCCTTCCCGCTCTGACTCCCAAGATCCTCTCCTGTGACCACCTCAGATGGGACAACAGAGACAAACAGTGGGGATGGGGCCAAATCACAGGTTTATTGGTTTCCAGCTCCAGGCAGTGCACTGGCCAGGCCACAGGATGGGATTAGAGAGGGAGCCAGAGCCGGCACTTCCAGATCTCATTGGGTCCTAGCAATGCTGCCAAGAGAGGTCTCCCTTCCCCAGTCACCTCATGCCCCACGGTCATACTGGGGTGGATGGGCCTGTCCTGATTGTGATTTAAAAATTGAACCTGGAAAAATAACTTTTGTGAAAATTCCACTCTGGGACCAGCAGGAAATGGACTGTCATATGGCACCAGCTGGGATTCATTTCCAGAGGGTATCTGAGTGGGCACATGAGCTGAGCCCCCTCTTCCTGCCCCCCACGTCTGTTGCAGGCCTCAGGACAGCACGTAGACCTCCAGCAGGCTGGAGACGGCGTGCATGCGGTAGAAGATGCCGAAAGGGAGGCAGATGTTGACGATGGCTGCCCAGAGGGAGTAACCGTAGAAATCCACCTCCACTGTGTTGCTGAAGTGAGGGCGGGCCCCGAAGGCAGGCATGATCCACAGCTGTGTGGAGAGAGGAGCATTTCAGGAGCTGGTCTGGATGATGCTGTGGGCTTTGCTGGGCCGTGGCTAGATGGGGGCCCATCTTTCTAGCTTGGTGGACAGGGAGGGCTGGGTGTCCATGAATGGGCAGCTCTAGCATTTTGGACAGGACCTGGCACTCTCTAAGGGGCTCAGGAAGTAAGCCCAGCTGAATTTGCCATCCCCAGGCTAGGAGTCCACCTGTGATCGCCTCTTCCAAAATTTTAGCAGGGCCTCAGTGTGCGATCAGGGAGGGGAGAAGAGGTTTCACTAGAAGAAGAGGTACAAGCAGCAAAATCAGCAGCTCTGTCCTGGGGGGTTGTGTGCACACGGGTGGGGGTGGCAGAATCAGATAGGCTCAGGGCAGGGAGTTTGAGGTTCAGACAGAAGGCCACCCCACCCCAGCCCTCCCTGAGCTCTGCCCTCCAGCTCTCCCCTTATCCCCTTCTCCTTTCCTAGGAGTGGGAGAAGGTGGAAGTTGGAATCCTGCTTCCTCTCTGGCTATGAGCTCAGAAGGTTCAGGTGTGGGTAAGAAGCAAAGAACAAAGGTTTCTAGGCTAGCCCCACCCCTACCCCTGATTAACTTCATCCTTGGGCACATCACAGTCCCCTCTGAGCCTGTTCCGTCCTATAAAATGAAGGAGATGGAGACGCTGCTACTGGAGGTGATTTAGGCTCAGATACCTGGACCAAGAATAGCCTCCCAGAAGGTGGCCCCTAGCCTATAAGCCAGGCCTGGGTGGAAGGTGGGGGTGGGGCCAGAGGGCAGGGGGCAGGCACCAAAGCCGGTCCAAGACATGGTGAGGTCTGGGCCTTAATGATTCTACTGGTAAGGTCAGAAACTGATGACCACGTTTTTTTTGAAGTGAAATTGATTGTGTTGGAAGGCTCCTGCATGGCAACATCCCACACCTGTGGGGCCCATGACCTGGTGGATGGTCCTTCAGAGTGGGACCTCACTAAGAATGACTCTTAGGGCCGCTGGTGTACCTCATGCAGGTAGGATTTCGTGGGGTACAATTCACTGTGGTGCTCTTGCTCTGTACTGGGATATACCCACGTTAAGTAATTTTCTGTATTAGGGATATTTTTCTATTGGAGGTTATAGCTGAAAGAATTGTTTTTCTATTGAGTGAAACTTCATTAGAAGTGTTTTTTTTCTCGGCCGGGTGCGGTGGCTCACGCCTGTAATCCCAGCACCTTGGGAGGCTGAGGCAGGCAGATCTCGAGGTCAGGAGATCGAGGCCATCCTGGCTAACACGGTGAACCCCTCTGTCTCCACTAAAAATACAAAAAATTAGCTGGGTGTGGTGGTGGGCACCTGTAGTCCCAGCTACTCGGGAAACTGAGACAGGAGAATGGTGTGAACCCAGGATGCGGGGCTTGCAGTGAGCTGAGATCACACCACTGCACACCAGCCTGGGCGACACAGCAAGACTCCGTCTCAAAAATAAAATTTTTTGGCCGGGCGCGGTGGCTCAAGCCTGTAATCCCAGCACTTTGGGAGGCCGAGGCGGGTGGATCACGAGGTCAGGAGATCGAGACCATCCTGGCTAACATGGTGAAACCCCGTCTCTACTAAAAATACAAAAAACTAGCCGGGCGTGGTGGCGGGCGCCTGTAGTCCCAGCTACTCGGAGGCTGAGGCAGGAGAATGGCGTGAACTTGGGAGGCGGAGCTTGCAGTGAGCCGAGATCGCGCCACTGCACTCCAGTCTGGGTGACACAGCGCGAGACTCCGTCTCAAAAAAAAAAAAAAAAAAAATTTTTTTTTTCTCTTTGAGATGTACCCACATAGGTACATGTTTCTATATCAGAGGTAATAATAAGCCCCCACTGGGCCACTTCTGTCTTGGGTTGTACTAGAAACACCAGGAGCATTTCCCTGTTGGGATGTACTTTCATTACCAGTGTTTCTGCCCTGGGGTACTTCTTTTTTTTTTTTTTTTTTTTTTTGAGACAGAGTCTGGCTCTGTCGCCCGGGCTGGAGTGCAGTGGCCGGATCTCAGCTCACTGCAAGCTCCGCCCCCCGGGTTTACTCCATTCTCCTGCCTCAGCCTCCCGAGTAGCTGGGACTACAGGCGCCCGCCGCCTCGCCCGGCTAGTTTTTTGTATTTTTTAGTAGAGACGGGGTTTCACCGTGTTCGCCAGGATGGTCTCGATCTCCTGACCTCGTGATCCGCCCGTCTCGGCCTCCCAAAGTGCTGGGATTACAGGCTTGAGCCACCGCGCCCAGCCGCCCTGGGGTACTTCTATACAGAGAACATATTTGTATTGGGTGAAGTCTGTTGCTTTTCTTTTTTTGACAAAGTCTCAACTCTGTTGCCCAGGCTAGAGTGCAGTGGTGCAATCTCAACTCACTGCAACCTCCGCCTCCTGGGTTCAAGCAATTTCCTTGCCTCAGCCTCCCGAGTAGCTGAGATTATAGGCACGCACACCACCATGCCTGGCTAATTTTTGTATTTTTAGTGGAGATGGGGTTTTACCATGTTGGCCAGGCTAGTCTCGAACTCCTGACCTCAAGTCATCTGCCTGTCTCAGCCTCCCAAAGTGCTGAGATTACTGGCGTGAGCCACTGTGCCCGGCCAAGTCTGTTGCTCTTAATCTTCGCTGAGTCACTGGGGAGGGGGTGGCTGTTGTAGACACCCTCCTTCCCACTTCACTCTGCTAACAGACTGCTCACACTTACACTGGTCTCTGCTACTTCCTGAGGCTGCTCCAATTATTCTGAGAAGCAGGCAGGTCACAAGTTCCCAGGAGCAGTCACACCTCCCATTGGGGGGTGAGGACCCCGCCTTCCACATCAGCTCTCAGCTCCCCCTCACCTCTGCCCAGCCCCTGTGTCAACCTTCCCTGTGACCCCTCCAGCTCCACCTGCTGCCTAGATGCCAGAATGTTAGGATTTCATTTCCTCTGTGTGCCCTGAGATGCCATTTGCCCCAAAGCTACAGCTGGCCTCCTCTGAACCTGCTCCTTTCCTAGAGAGCTGTAAGATTCTCAGGCGGGCTGGGGGCAAGACAGAGGAGGCTAAGGGCTTAGGCCTGCAAGAGCATCCTTCCTCAGCCTCGTCTCCCAAGCCCACCCTTTCTTGCCCCAGCTACTCACGATGACATTGCAGAGCAGGAGAAACAGAGAAATGTCTCTTAGGCACCGGCGTCTCCATTGGCTTCTGGGGGCTGAGATGATGGCCACTGCTTCTCGCTGGTCTGCGGGGCTGGGGCTAACCAGCCTGGGGGTGGGTGGGCAGGCAGGCAAGGTGTGGAAGGCATCCAGGTTGGTGAAGGTGAGGTTTTGGCAAGGTTCCTTGGTGGGGGTACTGTGAGGCTCAGCCCCGGGCGGTCCTCGGTGAAGGCTCTCGATGATAAATATGTTCTGGAAGGTGTGCTGGGCAATCATGAGCAGCGCATGGGTGAGGTCGAGCCCTGCCAGCAGGTCCTGGGGTGTGCCCGCCACCACGGCCACGATGGAGTAGTAGGAGATGGCGTACTGACCCAGGGCGGCACCCATCAGCAGGGCCACGTCCAGGGTGCGCGTGGGGTTCTTATGGTGGTCCATGGCCCGGCGGTCAAAACGGTAGATGATGGAGCCACTCAGGCTGACCAAGGTCGTAAGTCCCAAGCAGACAATGTTGAAGCTGTAGTAGATGACCAGGGCCTGCCGGGTGCGGCCCCCGCCCCCGCTCACTTGAACCTCATAGATGATGAAGACAGCCAGTCCTATCACGAAGAGCAGCAGGCCCAGAACCGGGCCAGCAAAAAAGGTCTCCCGGAAGAGGCTGAGAGGGGATGGGGTGTGGCTGTGGCCAGGGGCGAAGGCCAGGAATCTGCCCACATTCTTCCACATGACGTACAGCATGGTGGAGGCGAAGAGGCTGTACTCGATGTTGAAGGGATAGAGGTAGAAGTACCCCTGCTGGAAGATCTGGCAGACAGCCGTGCTGCAGAGGCAGGAGTCTCCTCCGACTGGGTTGCCCGCACGCTCTGTTGTGGAGAGAGAGACACAGGGCTGGACTGCCCTCCCACCTTCCTAGAGAGGTCTCACCCCTAGCCTGTGACCCTTTTTGTTTTGTTTTGAGATGGAGTTTCACTCTTGTTGCTCGGGTTGGAGTGCAATGACGCGATCTTGGCTCACTGCAAACTCCGCCTCCCGGGTTCAAGCCATTCTCCTGCCTCAGCCTCCCAAGTAGCTGGGATTATAGGCGCCTGCCACCACGCCCTGCTAATTTTTGTATTTTTAGTAGAGACAGGGTTTTGCCATGTTGGCCAGGCTGGTCTCGAACTCCTGACCTCAAGTGATCCACTTGCCTCAGCCTCCCAAAATGCTGGGATTACAGGTGTGAGCCACCACGCCCAACCTAGCCTGTGACCTTTGTTAAGGGCAGGGTCCCTGTCTTTCACGCCTGCTATATTCACCATGGTATCCCTCATGCCTTCACAGGGCATGGCACACTTCTTCACTTCACAAATATTTCTTGAGCACCTACTGTGTGCCAGAGACTGGGATACATCAGTGCTCAGTAAGAACAGTCTAGGCCAGGTGCAGTGGCTCACACCTGTAATCCCAACACTTTGGGAGGCCAAGGTGGGCGGATCACCTGAGGTCAGGGGTTTGAGACCAGCCTCACCAACATGGTGAAATCCCGTCTCTACCAAAAATACAAAAATTAGCTAGGCATGGTGGCATGCACCTGTAGTCCCAGCTATATGGTAGGCTGAGGCAGGAGAATTGCTTGAACCCAGGAGGCAGAGGTTGTAGTGAGCCGAGATCGCGCCACTGCACTCCAGCCTGGGCAACAAAGCAAGACTCTGTCTCAAAAACAAAACAAAACAAAACAAAACAAAAAAACAGTCTGAACCCCAGGGCTGCTCACTTTACCTCACTCCATTCCTTCCATCCCTTCCTGCTCTGGCTCCCTGAGAGAGAAAGTGGCTCTTGGGAACCTCTAAAGTTCAAGCTTCCTCACGGCTCTCCCCACCATCTGAATCAGCCCAGAAAGCCAGCTGCTGTGCCCAAGTCTCCACCATGACCTCCCATTACTTTTATTTGTACCACATGGAAGGGAGTCTTGACTTGACTCCAGAATGTATTTGTAGGATACTCTGGGCTTTGGCAAATGTCTCTTTTCATCCTAAGAACTAGCCCTGCTGGTTTTGCAGATGAAGAAACTGAAGCTCAATGTGGTGACGTGACTTGTAAATGCAGAGTGGATGCAAACTGCCTGACTTCTGACCCTGGGCCAGGTACTTCTCCGGCAGGCCTCTCTCTCCAGTCTGCAGGCCCCCACGTGAAGTCCATCATCTCCCTGGTTTGGTTTTGCACCCTCAGGAGTCCTCTTTGTTCAGGGTGGTCCTTTGTAAGGCTCGCTGGGCTGGGGTCTCCCTGAGGGTGGGGGCCATGCTTTTTGTTGCTGGACCTTCCCATGCTAGGAGCATGCATGTCTTAGTTATCTTGTCTGGTCCTGGCTATTGGGGGACCCTAGAGAAGTCCAGAGAATGAAGACTGGAGACTGGATCCCGTTCCTTCCTAGTTTAGCATATTGGTTAAAAACAAAGATGGATATGAACGCTAGTGCTAGACCTTGGGTGAGTTACTTAAGCTCTCTCTGCCCTAGTTTCTGCACCTATGCATGGGAATGGGGAGAGTACCCATTTCACAGGGAAGTCTTGATGGTTAAATGCGGTGTTTAAAACACTCAGCACAGTGCCTGACATACAGACCTCAGTAAATTGTCACCATTAACATTAACTCACACAGCACCCAGCCCAAGGCCTGGTAGCCACAGGGCCATGATGATTTTTCACCTTCTCCTCCTCCCCGGGCTCTCCCATCTGATCCATGCTTGCACCAAAGAACCACTCTGCCTCCCTTCTGCCTTTCCCAGCTTGATCACTCTTGCCCTTTCTTCCTGGATTCTGGGTCTGGGTCTCTCTCTTTTTTTTTTTTTTGAGACGGAGTCTCACTCTGTCGCCCAAGGCTGGAGTGGCAGTTGGCGCAATCTCGGCTCACTGCAAGCTCCACCTCCCGGGTTCACACGCCATTCTCCGGCCTCAGCCTCCCGAGTAGCGTGGGACTACAGGCGCCCGCCCACACTCGGCGCCCGGCTAATTTTTTCTATTTTTAGTAGAGAACGGGGTTTCACCATGGTCTCGATCTCCTGACCTTGTGATCCGCCCGCCTCGGCCTTCCAAAGTGCTGGGATTACAGGCGTGAGCCACCGCGCCCCCGGCTTTTTTTTTTTTGAAACAGGGTCTCACTTCTGTACCCCGAGGTTGGAGTGCAGTGGCGCAATCACACGCTCACTGCAGTCTCGACCTCCCAGGCTCAAGCGATCCTCCCCACTCAGGCTTCCCACAGTAGCTGGGACACACGGCATGCACCACCACACCCCAGCTAATTTTTGTAGAGATGGGGTTTCATCTCTTGCCTAGGCTGGTCTCGAACTCCTGAGCTCCAGAATTCACCTGCCTTGGCCTCCCAAAGTGCTGAGAATACAAGCATGAACCACTGCTCCTGGTCCTGGGTCCTTCCTGGTGGGAATGGGGACTGGACAGGGGGCCTGGGCGGCAGCTTCAAGGATAAAGGCGGTGCCCCGATACTCTCCTTCTGGGGCCACCTACACCTATCCTGCAGAGGTAGATCCTGCAGCAGGAGGAGGTCCTGGCTCTCTCCTTTGCCTCCATGCCCCTCATGGGAGACTGACGTTACAAACTCATAAAGCACCCAGCCCAAGGCCTGGTAGCCACAGGGCCAGCATTAGGGGGAACTCACGGTCAGAGGCGAGATGGGCGTGGCTGGCGTTGCTGTGAGAACTGCTGTAGGAGTGGGGATTGG